TCTATTGTCTGTCATGCGATTTGATGGATTATACGGCACGTCAACCTCCACGTTGCCTCTTCGGGCGCCCCTACATTACCTATTATAGTTAGGCGCTGCAGTCGCCCCGTCGCTGATCCATTTTGCTGGTGATTTTTTAAGTGGGGATCGGGCCGAATACATTTTGGTCTTCATACCATGTGGATAGTGAAAAAATGCGGATGGGTCTATTGACACTAGCTAAAAAGTCTCCATCATATGGATCAAGCGGAGGTGCGAGTGCAACAGGTTACATATAATACTATTGTGTACACCCCCATGCAGCTACTTTGAGCTTTCGCTCCCTAGTGTCCATTTAATCGCCTACAGAAACTCAGCCCATACAAATTTCTAGTTAGCCAAAATGCCGCATGTTTTATTTTATATAGGATTTTGTACTGGGCCGGTGGTGGCCGTGAATTGTGTCCAGCTTGACAAATCTCTTTTTTGTATGTGAGCCTCCCTATAAAGTGCAAAAACGGACTGAGTTATGGGCACTCGACGAGGTGGCTGTATCATTGTGTCCAGACGTGTATTCGTGAAAGGTATTAATAGTGGCTTGCCCTTATTAATACCATTGGTAAGTTACCAACGCTACATGGAGCGAACAGCAAGAAAATGTTTTGCGATGGGATGTCGTTCGTTGGTCCATCCAGTGCTCCATTTCAGCGCCTTGGCATATTGGTTCCTCCTTTCTTCGTGCACGCACTCGGGTTGGTAAACGATGAACGCTGTTATTGCATTGGCGCTTGGTGCCAGCTCTCTGGCTGTCGCTGTCGCGGATCCTAGAGTGATGATCGAGTCCACCTACACGGACGCAAAGGGATTGAACGATCTGGCCAAGGCGGCAGGAAACAAGTACATGGGCACAGCCACCGACATTAAGCAACTGAGCGACACGTACTACACCGGGGAGCTTAATAACACCCAGGACTTTGGGATGATCACTCCAGCAAACGCCATGAAGGTGGGTCGGTTTTACGATTTTATAAAAGGAGTTACACTGTAACTGATCTTGCGATGCAGTGGGATGCCACCGAGCCCAAGCAGGGCGTCTTTACGTTCGAGGACGCCGACAAATTCGTTGCCTTTGCCAACAAAACTGGAGCCCAAATTCGCTGCCACGCGCTAGTTTGGGTAAGAACTTAATGCCCAAGTTGCCGTGGAAAGTGACGAATGTTGACGTTTTTGTTTTGTGGTTTTGCAGCACCAGCAAGTTCCGGAGTGGGTGCAAAGCTTGGAGAAGGCTGAGCTACTGGAGGCTATGTCCAAGCACATCACCAAAGTCATGACCCACTTTGGAGACACATGCTACGCGTGGGACGTGGTAAACGAGGCTATCGAAGAGGACGGCTCATATCGCGAGTCCTTCTGGTACAAGAAGACAGGCAAAGAATACATCTCGGCCGCCTTCAAGACAGCTCACGCCGTCAAAATTAAACTCGGTCTGAAGGCCAAACTGTACTACAACGACTACAACATTAACGTTGCAAACAACAAGTCTGACGCAGTGCTGAAAATGGTTACGGACCTGAGAAGCCACAAGGTTTGGGTCGAAGGCGTCGGATTTCAGTCCCACTATAGCAACAACGACTCCGTGGCAGGTGCAAAAATATTCGATAACTTCCGTCGTTTTACTAGCAAGAATATGGATGTCGCGATCACAGAGCTTGATGTGAAGACAAGCACGGCGAACCCCACTGTAACTGAACAGCAGCAACAGGTCGGCATCATCACTAATGCTATCTCGGCCTGTAAGAAGACTAAACGATGTGTTGGCGCCACTATCTGGGATTTTGTGGATACATACTCGTGGATTAAATCGTCGGCACCGCTGCTCTTCTACCAACCCGATGGTCCCAATACTCCGCTCGTGCGCAAGGCGACGTACGATGCAGTCACGTCTGGTTGGATTTGGTAAGCTTGCCACGGATACGTAGCTGCCTGATAAGAAAAGAGATTTTTGTGTTGTAGTGAAACAAGTTAATCGAAGTTGCTCGAGGCTTGACCTTTCGAAGTTGTGGGGTACATGCACATAACATGGCTCTTTTTCAGGTCGATTAGTAATCGCCAAAAGCCTAAACCTCCTTTCGAGGTTAAGCTATCCCCAGGCTGGGATTCCCAGCCTTCGCAAAGCCCTAATTAAGTTTCAGGCAGCTAAATTTCAGAAAATTAAGCTGCCTGGTATTAATACTGAAAATGCGCTCCAACCTCAGCACCATTATTAGTCATGGCATGACTAATTAAAGTGAACGGTGTAGTATTTTCTCAGTGTATTTAGATATTACTCATCTTTAATTTAATGTTTTAAAATAAATACCCGTGCTATTATGTTAAACACCTCGCATAGCCCTTTTAATAGTATGTATAATAATTGAGTACTGTAGTCTGATCCTCTCTCTCTCTTCATGATGCCAGTTTGGAATGCGATCAGCAACATAATATTAATATGAAAAATAATAAATATGCTGGCCACAGTTGATTGCAAGACTCAACAATTGTCGTTGATTCCTGTCATACAATTGCAATCTATAGAAGATTGCAGTGAACGGGCTTGAATGTGTACCATTGCGGGTACGCGAACAACTTGCAAGCTGCAACGCTTTGAATAATTGGTACTTTGAAGTACTTGAAGTACAGTCCAACTCTTCGGTGTAGCCTTCTGAGCTTCAACTCAGTCCAGGAAAATACAAATCGTGTGGGCTATCTCGGTGTAGCATCACCAGGCCTCGTTATTAACGAGTCGTTAATTGTGGGAAATGGGTCACCGTCCCACGTCTTGGGTTTTACAGAGTAGAGTCTGTAGGCGAAGGTTAATTCAAAATAAACAAATGTGCAGTACATGTACAGTACATGTACATGTACCATATTTGATGTTCGTTACTTTTTACACCCACCTGTGTTTTATTATGAGAATCAGGGGAAATTCCACAATTAAAGACGGGAAATGCCGTCCTTACGCTGCACTGCACGTAATGCCGCAGGGACCGGACGTCAAGATGTACAGCCGGCGCCCGTCCACCTCGTCGTTTTGACATTCTGCATTTATTTCTCGCGCAAGAAATGATGAACGCTTTTATCGCGTTGGTGCTCGGTGCTAGCGTACTGGCCAGCGCGTTCGGCGATCCTCGAGTCATGATCGAATCAACGTACACAGACACTAAGGGGTTGAACGACCTAGCCAAGTCAGCATGGCAGAACAGGGGAGGAAAATACATGGGCACCGCGACAGGCATCAAGCAACTGAGCGACCCATACTACATCCAGAAACTCAACGGCACCAGTGACTTCGGAATGATCACCCCGGTCAATGCTATGAAGGTTCGCTCTGTTCTTTTTGGACAGGACTTCTGTCCTTTGCTGTTGCTGTTGCTTATGTGCTAGTGTGCGGTAGTGGGATGCCACAGAGCCCAAGCAAGGGGTCTTTACGTTTGAGGACGCTGACAACATTGTCGCTTTCGCCAACAGCACAGGAGCTCGAGTTCGCTGCCACGCATTAGTTTGGGTAAGTCTCAAAAGAGCTCTAGGCAGAGTCTTAATTTTTGACACGTTTGTCTTAATTAATAGCACAAGCAAGTTCCAGAGTGGGTACAAGTTCTTCAAAAAGCTGAGCTGCTGGAAGCGATGTCCAACCACATCACCAAGGTCATGACACACTTCGGAAATTCTTGCACTGCCTGGGACGTCGTTAACGAAGCTATTGCTGAAGACGGCTCATATCGCGAGTCATTCTGGTACAAAAAGACTGGCAAAGAGTACATCTCGACCGCCTTCAAAACTGCCAACGAAGTCAAGGCCAACCTCAGCCTAGAGGCCAGGCTATACTACAATGATTTCAACATCAACGTTGTCAATAACAAATCGGACGCCGTCTTTGAAATGGCAACGGACCTCAGAAGCCACAAGATTTGGGTTGAAGGGATCGGGTTCCAGTCTCACTATAGCAACAATGATAGCGTGGCTGGTGCGAAGATATTCGACAACTTCAGGCGGTTCACAGTGAAGCATATGGACGTCGCTGTCACGGAGCTCGATGTGAAGACGAGCATGGCGAACCCCACCGTAAGCGAACAGCAGCAGCAAGTTGGCATCATCACCAACGTTGTGTCGGCCTGCAAGAAAACCGTTAGATGCGTCGGCGTGACGGTCTGGGACTTCGTGGATACTTATTCGTGGATAAAATCATCAGCTCCGCTGCTATTCTACCAGCCTGAAGGGCCAAGTACGCCGCTCGTTCGGAAGGCGACGTACGATGCTGTCACGGCTGGCTGGATTTTGTAGGTACAGTACCGTGTCGTGGTCGATTTACGACAAATCGACATCGATATCTTTAAAACGACTCTTTTGCGTTTCAAAAACGCAAATCAAGAGCAGATATAATAATTCCAGCCATGCCTTTCCTTTATCAGTTTTACGCCTGTTTTTATGCGCCAATCATGTATTGTGCTTTGCATATATTTTGGCTAAACGGATAAAAACAACTATCTGTAATTGCAAGGGCTAGGTATAACAAACCAAGCAGGTGACAACCAGATATTATCCCGGCCAAAAAGGCTTGGACAAAAATGGTAATATATTTTATCTTAAATTAGAGGAATGTAACTCCGCAACCGTAGAGCCGATTTCGTTGTGTGTCCCCTTAATAGATAGCTTGGTGTCTATTTATTCTCGTAAGAACTTCACAGCATCTAATAATGTTCACTACTTTTCAAATGGTCGCCGGTAAGAAATTGACTGCTGCTGAGAAGTACTTGGTTGTGAAGACCTACGAGTTCCTCCGCCAAAAGAAGGCCTCTGCACCGCATCTATGGAAAGGAGGAGTTCGTTATCATGTCAAAGAGTGTTTAGGCTTTGCTACGGGCACCATTTCAGCTATATGGGCGCACTGGGAGCAGCACCACGACAAGAATTTCACCTCGGTAGGCTGTACTTAATATCATTTCAGTTATTATTGATATTTATCATTTCAGTGGTCGACAAATTAATTATGACAGATGGAAGGTCCAAAACCATCTGGGAGGCCTCCAGAAATACGAGACAAAATATCTGCAGCAAGGTGATGAATGCGAAATTGCATCGGAACCAGAGGGCAGCAACGAGGACACGGAAGAGGATGACGCCGTCGATGACAATGAAGCTGTAGCCGATTAGGAATATGAACGGGTGACCCGTTGTATGTTCTTTACACTCTAGATATTCTTTTGACGGGTTCTTTTTAACAAGTTTATAATTTTCTAACAATCGTCAAATTGCGGTAATATTTGGAATTTATCCATCCGGTTCTGAAAATCCCCACCTGTTATCCCGGCTCTGCCAATGAATATGCATGCATGCCAAGCCCACAATTGCAAACAATTCTGCAAGATATAGAGCCTTTTTTAAACGGCCGATTGGGAGATCAATGGTTGCAGATACGCAAAAAAAGACCTCAAAATCGGAATCTACGCCCGATTTTACCCCTTATATCTAACTATCGTTATGGGTTTTGTGAAGGGAAGGGTTACCTTTTTTGGACCAAAGTTTGTCCAAGGTTTGGTGGCCGGGATAATAGATATCACGGCGGGATTCACGCCTCCGTAAATATAACCAATCAAAAGCTCAGACACAAAAGAAGGGTTCGTTTTGAAAATTCGGAGTAAGTCTCACTCTTAAACAATTCAACTCCACTATGACGGTGAATCCTCTGCCATCCAGCAGTTTGCGTCAAAACCGACGCGATAGTCAGTGTAGATTTTGACTAGCGACGAAAAGCCATGTATTCCGTTGATATGAAGTGGCGTGGCGTAATTCTACTGTACGTCTATAACATTGACGTTGCTACAGTTGCCTCTGTTTTAGGTGTTTCAGAGCGCAGCTTAAGTCGTTGGTATCACGACTTTAAACGGACTGGGAACGTATTAGCCGAGAAAACAAGAAATCGATCGTCAAGGTGGCCGGATCATGTGTGCTCATTTGTGCGAGAGTATGTCAACGCCCACCCCTGTTTCTACTTTGAAGAGCTTCGAAAGGAGCTACAACTTCAATTCGAAGCTTCGATAAGCCTGACAGATTCAACAATTTGCCGTGCGCTACGGTTCGATCTGGGATTAACGCGCAAGGTCCTGACAAAACGTGCAAAGGAGAGTGTCCCTAGAGACCGACAAGAATATATCAACCGTCTGCTACCGTTTTATAGTGGACCTGATCAACTTGTCTTCGTAGATGAAACGTCAAAAGACGGCCGGTAAGTAACTTCGTTTTATCAGTTTATTTTGTTTTACTTATGCTACAAGCGGTTATTAACCTATTGTTTTGTCAAACAGATCTGTATTGAGGAAGTATGGGTGGTCCGCCAGGAATACTCCTGCTCATGCTGTACTACCATTTAGCCGAGGGAATCGAGTTTCGTTGCTAGCAGCGGTCGATGTCAACGGATTCTTTGGTTGGGGGATTTCTGAAGGTACTTTTACGAGAGCGATATTTCATGAGATTTTCAAGACCAAAATTGCGCCTTACCTGAATCGATGGCCACTACCGAGGTCAATCGTCATCATGGATAATGCAAAAATCCACATGTACGAGGAACTCCAGGAATTGGTCCATGAAACGGGAGCTATACTGATGTTCCTTCCTCCATATTCCCCAGACTTAAACCCAATTGAAGTCACCTTCTCACTTCTTAAGAGGTGGATCCAACGAAATGCAAATATGGCATTCCAAGCTGACCCAGTTGCGGTGATGAAAGTTGCGCTCTACAACTGCACACGACAAAAAGATTCTGTAGGTTTAAATCTTTACAGACATTGTGGTTATCATTCACAAAAACTTGAAATACAGGTCAACTAGATGTATTTAATGTGATCTTTCCATTTCATTCGGCTCCATGTGGTCTGTATCGACAATATTATGCGCTGGATCAGGCGTGTCAACCTCTATTGGTCCTCGAAAAGGAGGGCACAAACTATATGGCGGTAGACCAAGGGCATCGCGGAGGTCCGCTATGTTGACTTTTAGTGGAACTGGAACGCCGTGGATTTGAACGCGAATGATGCGATAAGATGCATCGTGCTGTAGCTGTGTCGATGCGATCTCTTCATTCATTGATCGTTCTTGCTATTCAATATGTAGAAGCTGTCGGAACGTCGAATTCTGGGGAATTTCAATATCACTGCCCTCGGGAAGTCTAGCCTGCGCAACGGCCATATAGTTTTGTGTAGCAGGTCCACCAGTAATACCAGACTCCTGTAAGAAAGCGGCAACACGGGGAATCTGCTCTTGAATACGCGACGCGGTAGCTCGACGGAGCGAAGTGCTTGACGCTCGCGACTCTTTGGGGATGTATACGAAGAGCTCAAGTACAAACCCGGCTTGACCACTTTTTCGACGCCGAGCTGTGTGCCACACACCTTCTAACTGCGCTTTGAACGAGCTACTTTCAACAAGTGGGACGTAGTCTTTTTGCTTGGCGTGATTTGATGGCTTCAGGAAGACTGCGAAACCAGGCTGCCATTGCCCAGGAACCATCTCTTCCAGCTTCTTCTCAATTATCTTGCGGAGCGCTGCCGGTCCGTCGGCTATTGTCAGCACAAACTCCTTGGGAGAAACTTTTTCATGAGCTCTGGTGTATGGCTCGCCATTCTTTGCTGTAATCCGACAAGTCAACAAGCTTGGCAACGGGAGCTGCGGGACAGATGAGCTTGCCATTGTAGAATAGAAACTAAGTTAAGCCAATGCTTATGAATACCAAAACCAATAATAGAAGCTTTTACGATGACTTACGTTTGACGAGGCTTCGTGGCATTAGTGTTCAACCCTATCGCCACGTTGAATTACGTCCTCGAACCTTGTTCTAGTCATCGGTCGACTGGCTTCAGCATCTTATCCCGCTCCTCGTTCGTCTCCAGCGTTGCCATAACCCGGCCCCGCCCATGGTAGCACCCACCTTCTTCTGAACCTCCTTGGCCACCTGACCATCCGTCCTTTAGCTGCTCAAACGGCTCCTAGATCACCTGTGTGGCCATGACCACAGCACCACGTTCAGGTGCTTCAGCGGCGCCTTGGCCACTAGCTCTACTCTTCACGCAATCTCCAATTCTTTGTTGCACGTTGAGCCGCTCCTTATTCATCTCCGGCGTGGTCATGTCCGCGCCCACCTCTTTTGGCAACTCTGTGGCCACCAGCGCGGCCTTTCCGCAGCTACTGGAGCGGCTCCTTGGTCACCAGCTCTCCTTCTTCAGCTTGAGCAGCTCTAGGTTTACAGCAGACACGACTTTGGCCTGCAATCGCCGCCTTCCACAGGATGAGAAGCTTCCCATAGCACGTTCGTGGTCACGCACACCTCCTTCTGCACTCGACAAGCTTCAGATTCTCCACAGGCGCGACCTTCTACAGCTCGAACAGCTTCTTGTTTATCACAAACGCGGCCGGCGCCACTCCCAACTTCTTCTCCAGCTTGAGCGGCTTCTGGCTCACCGCATGCGCGACCTTGACCACGCGCACCTTCTTTTGTAGCTTGAGCGGCCTTCGCGTGGGGTCCAGACTCGGAGCTGACGATTTACACTAATCAGCAAAGATTTAAATGGCGAACAGAGTGATTTTACAAATCAAAAACCGGAGTACCTCAAGTCCGAATTTGAGTAAAATCGGACGGCAAATTACATGAAAAGCACAATACGTAGTGTCACCATCAGGGGCTAATGGTAACCAAATATCATATGATCTTTTTAAAACTAATAGTACTATAGCCGATATTAAATATCAAAAGTAGCTCTTTTTTCAAAAGTTAACTTAATATTTTAATTTTAACTCGAAGATTTGAAAAATGCTCGCTACTAGATGATATTTAATTATATTTCCCAGTTAAGTACGTTTCTTGCCACCTTAAGCCGAGGGCTCATCAAAGAATTCTTTCGGTCAGGTTCTAGAACAGCAGTAGGCTTTAAGACTGACGAGTATTTGCTCTAGTATTTCACTGTGACATAGAATGGAATGGGGATGCTCTTTGCATTTATTTTGCTCACCAAAAAAACGACCAGGAAGGCAGTCGGCCCCGTGACCCAAGCCATATATACGGAAATCCGCTCAACCCGGCAATTTGCCCAGTTCTGGCCATCGCTATCTTTTGGGCTACATCATCTTTTGACGGCAGTGACCAATTGTTCCCTGGTAGCAATCGGTATGAGCGGTTCCGTAAGTGTTTATATCGATTACTAGAACAAGATGCTGTATTACGCCGGCGTGGCGTAAATCGTGATGAGCTGGGCACACATTCGATGCGAAAAGGAGCAGCAACATACTGTGCTTCTGGCTCTACGGCATGCCCGTCATCAACTGCGGTGGAGGAAATACCATCGGTCAGTAGAAAACTACTGATCTGTCCCCAACGCGGCGCTGCCTGCACAACTACTGATTTCACAGCTACTGGAGTGCTGTTAAGTTCGCATTTGCATTTTCTCTTAGTCCTGCCTCGTTTGGTGTTAAGTTCGCATTTGCATATTCTCTTAGTCCTGCCTCGTTTGGTCTATCAGTCTCTGACTCCGGCAAAAAGACCTCCTCCTCTACTGACACCGTCACGCAACCCACCACCTATGGACGATGCACGCTCGGCGTCCAGCTCTCGGTCGACTTCGTTCGGTATGCTAACTTCTCTGCTTAGACGAAGCTGCCAAAAGAAGCCGTCCAGACGGCGCTGGATCGTTCGGGCGTGACGCTGTCGGGGGTTGAGCGGAGGCATCGACCAAAATGGCGAATGCCACGGAAGTGCACTCCACAAAAACAACCATATAAATAAAGGCGTTTTGAGCAGCTAAAAAATAGTACACCGAAATAACATATTGACGTTGAAGTAGCTGGGTACACAGCGTATCCAACTGGTTACTCTCAGGGTACGTTAGTAGAGTTCTATCTACTCACAGAGATTGACTCCCCAGTCCGTTTGCTGCTGATATTTATTGAGAGTGAGGATCAGTAAGATAATCTATTGGAAAGAAATACCTCAATTATTAATCAGCAGTCAACGCTGATATTTATTGAGAGTGAGGATCAGTAAGATAATCTATTGGAAAGAAATACCTTAATTATTAATCAGCAGTCAACGATTGCAATTGTTTGTGTCGTTAGTTTCCTTATTTGTGTTGGAAACTCAGTGTCTGCAATATTGGTTCGCGTCGCGTATACTCCCCCATACTTTTGGCTGGAGCGGTCTGAGGTATCAACTTTTGCGTCCTCCCTCAAAACACCCATGCTTATAGCTGTAGCGATGTCAGAAAGATCTACCACGAAGGGAGAACTCCCATAATTCGGAGGCGGCTTTCGAGGCATGGTACGCTTAGGGCAAAAGCGGTTTTGCTGAAGGCAGCAGAAATGTAGCTTTGATTAGAGTTAGGTACGGATCGAACTTTATCATTTTCTACTGATTGCCGTCTTTTCTGCGCCGCGTTGGGGACAGATCAGTAGTTTTATACTGACCGATGGTATTTCCTCACTGCGGTGCATCTTTGAGCAGGGTGGTTCTTAGGTGGGGTTCAAAATACGTAACTACGCTATGAGGCGGCTGGAGATATGCATGTTTTAAGAACAGTGTCTGGCCTCCCACCAGGGAGTCACAAATTTCAGGTGCTGCCGCCACACTTTGGAGAGCGTGTTAGAACTGTTGAGCACGTCGATGCGACTCGAGCTGCAACTGTTAAAGACCTTGTGAGCGTGCTCGAGCAGCGAGCAATTGGCGCAGGTGTTGTAACGTTTGATAGATTGGACAGCGCACTCAAGCAGTGCCTCGACTCGGCCGGCATCTGGTAAAGTTGAGCGCCAGCCCGCAGCAAGCACTCCAGCAACACACGGACAGCGCGCTAACAACTCCAACCTTTTGCTGGGGAGGCAGGATTCGGCGAGCCCCCCCCCTAACTTCGAGCTTCCGGGTTGCTCTGTGGCCGCGCTCTGGATCTTGTGGCAATGAGGCAATGCCGCCAAGACCCCGCCCCCTGCGGATACTTGATGGTCGTGACATGCCTAATAGAAACCAACAGAAGCGACTGAGCGACGCTCGCTATCTAATGCGCATGGTTGAGGATGAAGCAACACGTACCGGATCGTGGTGCACCCACCAGAGCGTTGAAGCCGCTGTGAAGACGTTCGCTGCTTGTCGTATTGTCGTTGATGTCCCTTATCTCACAACGAGCAAGCACCGCCGACGCCGAGGCCAACTGTCTTGGACTTCTGTAGTGGCTTTGCAGCGCAGGGCAAGCAAGCAAAATGTGACGTAAGTAATTGGTCCAAATTCAGTTTATTCGTATACTTTGATTAACTCAAGTCTGAAGATCACAATGTTTTGTAAAGTCCTGCAAAATCCGTCTAACAATCATTTTCTAAAGCGACGACTCGCACAGACACTGCTGTGGCGCCGCCACAGGCTACAGGGGCGCGTGCCCTGGTGCACTGTCGCCGTGCTATAAGTGCAGCTTTCTGTGCGGCATCTATCTCCAACATGTGTGCTGCAAAATGCGCCTTGGGGCACCGACTTCTGGTCGGAGACGGGTGCAGAGCGACGCAGCCATACACGCGCCTTCCTCCATTTCCATGGTCTGGTCGGTGGAAGGGAGGATCATTTAGGAAAGAAAAAGGGCTAGCTCATTTTAAATGTAAGCTACCTCCGGAGGTGTGAGCAGGTCGTTGAAAAAAATGTGAGCGTAATCCGAAGGGAATTTTGAGCACGTTTTTTTGCAATGTTCGACTCCCCCTATTAGTAATACTTCCGTTAGTCGAACTTTAACGACATGTGATTACCGCATCGCCCCTTGTTGGAGGGATGATTTGCGCAGAGTTGTTAGGGCAGTACAGTAAGGAGTGAGGACAAAAGTAGAGTGGTCTAGGCGGCCATAGTGGAGAGGAAGTCTTGAGTGTAGAAGGAGAAGACGCTTGTGGTGGACTTGGTAAAAGAAGAAGTGATGAATTATAGAGTCTGGTGTTCTGGTGGGGGAGTTACTCTCCACCAACCAGTCCAGTTATGTACGATTTCTCTATATGAAATAGTACAGTTATATTCCACTAGATAGTCATCATCACATCGGAGATGCTTACTTCGACAGCCTCCCACATCGAGGAATGTGTATGATGCTCTATCTGTCGGATAGTATTTAATGTACCACAGGTGGCTGTTTATAACAGTCCTGTACGTACATGAGCATTTACAAGAAGTAGATCTTGTTTTGATATTGATGATCTTTTTCCTTTGACTTTCATTGTCAGATTTGTCACCTTGTGCCGTTTTGCTTTGGCAATAACTGTGCTGATTTCTTGTTTTCATTGTTATTTTGGCTACTCAGGAAAACCTTAGAGGATTAAACCTGTTCACCGTAGTGATTGTTGCTGCTATCGTTTTAGTTATACGAATTTGTAGCAGCTACCTCAGGGAAACCTTTAATTTTAAGGATCAAAACCTGTTCGCTGAATTGTTGCTGTTATCGTTTTAGCTTTACGAATTTGTAGAAGCTACCTCAGGAAACCCTTTAATTTTAAGGATCAAAACCTGTTCGCTCTGTTGTTGGCTACTCAGGAAACCTTTGAGGATACACCTGATCACCGTATTTATCTTTATATATTTTGTGTAAGCGATTTAGCTTTGTTCATTTCTTAAACTGCCATTGTTTTGCTCTTTCATATGTGGATATTTCTTCACACTGTGTAGTTTGTTTTTTTGTTTTTCGCTGCTGAGGTCTTATAGAATTGCCTCCCAATTTCATGAAATGGTTGATATAGGTGCTGCAGTCATTTTCAATTTGTTCTGACTATTGTTATTGAGAGCTTATAGTTTTCACATATTTTTGAAGAAAGGCTACAGCTTTTAAAAGCATAAATAACATCAAACAGTGTCATCGGTAGAGTACGCATCATATTTGCAGTAAGTGTGCAGGCTCTCGTCGTTGGGGTTATTTTTCTCCCTAGAGGCTCATCGAGTTGTTTCTCGTTTGGAAGTTTATAATTTTATTTTTACTTCGCAAGCGCTAGCGATAGATTTTGCAAACTATCGAATTCATTGTCGATGGAATTGATGCAGTAAAACTATAGTTTACTTTCTGTAGACAGAGGCTTCTGTAGGCTTGTCTTGTAGTCATAAAGTGTTGAATTTTTTTTCTCATTCTTTTGGTACTGTTATGCTGGAAATGTTTGAAACTTTTGCCAGTGACAATAAATGTTAAAGTTTGGCGAATGCATGAATAGTTTTTGGCGTTGATGCCTCCCAGTTTCATACATTTCATTAAGTATTTCTCTCTCAACGTTTGGGGTATATAATTTTCTTCTTCGTACAAGCTAGGCAGCCTTTGTGAAATTTGCAATTTTGTTTTTGCATCTTGCAAATTGCATGTATGATTTTATTTATAAATTTCTTTTGTGAATGTGGCATAAATATGTTTTGAGCAGCTAGGTAATAATGCTTGCACCAAAGCAATATTAGGAGCACACTTCACTCACATTTTATCTAGCTCACAGCTTTGGGGTAATTTTCTCCCTGGTGG